TAGGAGGTCAGAATAGCTTCTCCGATGAAGACAGTTTTTGAGCACAGACCTAAAGAAAGTGAGAGCAAGGGATGTGAATGCCTGGGGCAAAGAGAAGCCCAGCCAGAGGGAAAATGTGGTTCCAAGGCCTTGATGCAGGGAAATTCTGGACAGGTCTGAGGAGCAGGAAGGAATGCAGGCAGCTGAGCAGAGAGAATGAGCCTGAGGGTTAGGGGAGCAGAGTACAGATAGGGAGGACCTTTCTGGCCAGGGTAGTTTTTTTGGGTGTTTTGCATTTTTGTTTTTTTGTCAGGGTCTCGTTCTGTCACCCAGGCTGGAGTGAAGCGGCATGATCACAGCTTACCACAGCCTTGACCTCCTGGGCTCAGGTGAACCTTCCTCCTCAGCTTCCTAGGTATTTGGGACTACAGACACACACCACCACACCCAGCTAATTTTTTCAATTGTTTTTGTAGAGACAAGGTCTTAGGCCATGTTGCCTAGGCTGGTCTCAAACTCCTGGGCTCAAGTGATCCTCCCACCTTGGCCTCCCAAAGTGCAGGGATTATAGGCATGAGACACCATTTCTGACCAGACTTTAGATTTTTGTCTTGTTGAGACGAGAAGTCAATGGAGGGCTCTGACATGAGTAGGGAAAACAGCAGTCTGCTGTGCTAGGAAAGACCACAGATGATGGTGGCTTGAACAGGGTGGCTGGCAGAGAACTAGCTCAAGAATTTGAATACACCTCTCCACTTTTCCTAAAAATTTTTCCCTAAAAGTTTCCCTCTAACTAGGATTTATTGAACACCTACTAAGCAAGGTATCAGGCTGGGCCATTGTACAGTTGTTGTCTTTTGCCCTAATGCCACAGACCCTCAGATAAAATCTAGTAAGATTAGTATATTAAAGCTCCAGGAGATTTTTGAAGTCATTGATTATAACCACATTGTTTTACATATGTGGAGTTCAAACTCAAGATAGATTAAATTGTTGACCCAAGATCATATAGCAAGTTAGATCAAGAGAAGAGCCCGGGACTCAGTTTTCTGTACTTCACAAAACTGTATATTCAAATCAGTGTTTTAGGGACTTACAAAGATTTAAATGATTTCCCTTTACCTCTTCTGATTTAAAAATAACAGCAAAACATCTTTCAAATGTGTTCTCATTAGGTTAATATTTAAGAGTATCATTTCTAAAGCAATATTTTTTAAGTTTCTAGAATTAGTATTTTTTTTTCTTTTAAAGATGGGGTCTTGCTATGTTGTCTAGGCTGGTCTCAGACTCCTGGGCTCAAGCTATCCTCCCATCACAGTCTCCTGATAGTTAGGACTATAGGCATGCTACCATGCCCAGCTAAAATGAGTAAGTTTCTAAAATTACTTTTTCCTTTAGGGAGTCTATATGAACAACTATTGCCTTAATCAATTGACTGGCAGTTCTGCAATATAATCACTGATATAAATACCACCAACTTTCTGTGATTACTTTAGCATGCCAATCTCTTACCAAAATAACTCCTGTAGATTAAAAAAAAAGTATTTGTCAGATGCACGAATGGCCCTGCCTGCCTTAGCAATAATCAGCAATTATAACAACTTAATATACTGTCTGTTTCCAAGGCAGGGAGAACATAACATAGAGTTATTCTTGGGACTTAACATAAAGGATCTAGAACTGAAAAGAATATTTTATTTTCAAAGCAAATTGGAAATTTCATATAAAATATTTTCAATGACTGCATCTTCTTAATTTTGTATAACTCAAATAAATTAAGAAAGAAAGAAATCTTGCTGACGATAAAGCAGAACTTTGGTAAGAATTCTCTGATTTGTGTTCTCTCTGAGTCTAAGTAATGAGGTGAATATCCTGTTATGAAATCCTCATCTTCCCTCCCCCAAATCTATGTTTGTATTTGAATTTTCACACTCCATACTTTCCACTAAACTTAAGCCTGCCCCTAGGTACCTTAAAGCAGGGCTGCCAAATGCTACATGGAGCTTTCTTTATTCTTTTCTTCTTTTTTTTTTTCTGGGAAAAGTTAGAAGAGATTTTTAAAAGGCTGTGAGGAGCTAAAATGTACTCTTGTCCTAGCAAGAACATTTTGTAAAATTGACTGGTGGGCAGTCAAGCTTGTTCTTGAGACTGGCAATAGAGCTTCTTGTAACGTAATAAGTGTGAAAAGAGCCATTTCCCAATCATCTTGTTCATTCCACGCATATTAGGAGAGAAGAAAATTCAACTGAGGGCCAATTCTCCCCTAAGAATCCTTTAGTTTAATTATGACCACAGTACATTAAATGTCTGTAAGACATCCATGTTAGCTCTGCGGCTCCTGATCTCAGCAGTGAATGAGAGGAACCCCTTTCATTACGAAGAAGACAGGGAAGGATGCTTTTGTGGGTCGAAAACATGGTTGAAAATTCAATTTAACTGAACGCCAGGCCACTGTGCTTCTTGTAAATGAATATCTCTTTGCTGTTAATTTTGTGCCATTTTACCTTTCATTAAAAAAAGTAATTCAAGTTAAACTCAGTTGAACAGCAAAAAGCTCTTCATATTTTGAAGCATTTTGGAACAATTACTTTGACGGGAGCCCTTGACAGTTAAATGACTCCGTTAAATGAATGTTATAGAAGACACATAATGATTTTTAGTGAAATATTGAATTTAACCACAAATGAGGAAAACTCAGTCATAAGCACTATGGGTATATTTGAATAATAACATCTTGCTTATGAAACTGAATGAATTCTGTAATTTCTAATAACCATGCAATCAACTAGTTAGCTGGTGGGTATGCTTCCCTTCTTGTGGCTTTCTATTCATTTTTGCTTTTTTGCTTTTGTTGTTTTTGTATCTGAGAAGCCAGTATGAAAATTTCAAAACTAGCAATAACTTTCTCTTACATTGGTACAGTATTTTACAGTTAGGCAATTAATGAGATGCTGTCCTATAATTGAAGTCCTCCTCCTTCCTTTTTCTCATTTGCTGAATGGGATTCTTTCACCAAGTAAGAAATCAGCAAAAGTCAAGAGCATGCTGTCTGAGGACGTGTGAACTCACTGTATGCCAGTGTTTCCTGCATCTGTGGGACTGAATATTCCTTTTCTTATTTTATGGATTGAATGTGAGATAATATCAAGGCTTTTACATGTTTTCTCATGACTAACAGCTGAAATATGTACTGAAATAATAAAACTGGTACTGTTCAATTTCCTTTTTAAATTCAATTCCAATATAAGTGAGAGTGCCGTTGTGATAGTGAAATCCGGCTTATTATAAAATTCTGTTTTCTCGAGAGGAGAGAAGCTAGAAATCCCTGCAGACGCAAACTGTGTGGGTTACAAGTGGGTAGGGATGTTCAGACTGAAGAAATGAGTCAGAAAAACAGGAATGTTCTGGTTTGGCAAGCCAAACCAGATGAACAGTCGATGCTAAGCGTACTGGGTGCTGTAACTTGGATCTCTACCCACTGTGTGCAGCTGTGCTTCCTAATTCTTCCAAGCAGGTGAGGAACAACTTTCCTGAAGTCCCCACTGCTCCCTGTATTCATCTTCCTTCAGCAATTGCCTATCTATACTCTAATTGCCTAGTTACATGTCTGCTCCCCAGCAAGGCCACTCCCCAAGAAGAGAAAATGTCTTTTCATCTTGCATTCCCAACATTTCTGAGCCAAGATTAAGCTGTTCAATAAATGTACTCTTGAACAAATAAATTTTTATTTATTTATTTTTAGTTGAAGTCTCACTCTGTTGCCCAGGCTGGAGTGCAGTGGCATGCTCACAGTCGTGGCAGCCTTGACCTGCTGGGCTTAGACTAAGTTCCTTCCGCCTCAGTCTTCCAAGTAGCTGGAACTACGCTACCATGCCCAGCTAATTTTTTTTATTTATTGTAGAGCCGAGGTCTCACAAAGTTGCCCAGGCTGGTCTTGAACCCCTGAGCCCAGGCAATCCTCTCGCCTCGACCTCCCAAAATGCTGGGATTACGGGCTTGAGCTACCACGCCAGGCACAAATAAACTTTTAACTTCCTCAGTTGACAGTGAAAACATGAGAGAAAGGCCAGATAGTTTAAATATTTGATACTAGTCAGAGGAAAGGCCAGATACAGAGCAAGGTGCTTAACATAGATATTACCTATAACCGTGCTATCTAAAGTGTGGTCTGTAGACCACCAGCATCAGCCTCAACTGGGAATCTCAAACATACAGAATCTCAGACCCTGCCTCAGATCCCCTGAGTCAGAATCTGCATTACAAGATCCCCAGATGATGGTGCTACGCACAGTGAAGTTTGAGAAGCATTTACCTATAATATACCTGGAGAAGCGATGGCGGACAGAATGGGGGAGAAACAAGGCCCTGGCATTGTGATTACTATGGAGGGCTGCTGAGAAAGTTGCAGAACTCTCTTAGGACAGTGTCACTTGATGCTCACAGGTGGGAAACGCACTCATACCAATTCCCTTGGTATCCCTTCTAGATACTTCTTCACACTCCTTCCTGTTTAAAGACACAGCTGCTCTTAATAATTGTCGTTTCTCCTCAGTGCAAAGAGAGTATATATCGTCAGCATGCTGACATTTGCAGGAGGTTTGGCTTTCTCCACCAAAAATGTGGATGATTGAAAGGATATTGCTGACACCTGAATAAAAATCCCAATGACTCCAAGCTATGTAAATTTAATTATTTCCTTTAATTTTTTTTTCAGGAGTCTTTTTTTTCTCTTCCTGAGCTTTGGAGAAGTCCTGGCCATTTTCATTTAAAAGAAATACAAGTCAGCAGTGGTTCACTGAACAGGCTGACACGCAATTTCATAGGGGGAGAGGCGCTGTGTCTTTAATCTAATTTGTGCTTTCAATTCCCAACTAATGTATCTAGGGATCCTGATGTATGCATTTATAAGGAGACATCTGTAATGCAGAGTCCAGCTCTCTGCAATTCTCTGAAACATGGGTAAAAAATTAATCTGGATCCTTGCAGCTGCCCTACAACATAATAAATCTCTATATACTCACAGATGTAGAAATATTCTCGGCCTGGCCTGAATTCAAATCCTAGGGAAAAGGGAGTGAAGAGCTGGAATTTTTCAGAGAACTTCAGTGGTCCATTTGGAGAGTGAGGCCGGTTACATTCCCATCTCTTGAACCCTTTGGAAGTGTGGTCGCAGGCACTGTAGCCATCAAAGTTCACCATGTAGAGGACATAGCGTTCAGTCTTATCTTCTGGGACGGAGTCCTCATAGTGAGGGCAGAAAACATCCAGGTAGTCATTGATACAGACGTCAATGTGGTAGTCACCCTTCTGGAATCTGTTGGAGAGAGAAGACAAAGATGTGATCATTTACAGAGAAAGGGCTTTCTACTTGGAATCAGGGGTTAAATCATTTCATAATTCTGGGGCTAAAGGATCTGGTATAATCCATTCTTACTGAATGCTATCACGATTTGGGGGGTGGTTTGAAATGGTACAGTTCCAAATCTAAACAACAAGCCATTTTACAGAGGTAGACTATCATATTTGTTTCAAAATATCCTAAAAATGAAGAACTTTGTTTTCATTTAAAATATTACATCAAATATCACTCTTTCAAAATAAGGAATTATATGGAGGGGCTAATTTGTTGCTTTCTACTTTTTTCTTTCATTCTTAAAGTCATATATGTTAAAATAAAGTTTTCATATTTCCATGAAGTGTTTCACTTAATATATGTTTTTGAATAAATAAATGAACAGCAAATAAATGAGTGGTTTTTGTTATAATTGAGGTCATTTTCTACTTTCTATGGAAATGTGGAGAATTAGAGCCATAAAACTGGGAGAATTAGAATCATAAAATTTAAAAGTTACAAAGAAAATTCCTCGATCAATGCTTTCATTTTAAAGCAAAATAAAAAATGAAGCAAAAAAAAAAAAAGATGAAACAAAAAGATAAAGCAAGGTGATTGAACCAGACCTAGAACAGACACTTTGGCTCCCAATTCAGTGTTTTCTATAGATATTCTATATCACAAACTCATTTTAGCACATCTTTTGATGCCCTGTCCTTTCCATATTAAGAAAACTGAAACCATCTAAATCAAATGACTTTCCCTTCATTTCTTTTAATTTTGTAGGTTATGTTCTAGGACTGGGCTAGTGGGTAATTAAAGTAACAAGCCAGATGAAAGTAGCAAAAACTATAGCAAACTCATCCTGAAATAGTTAAAAATAGACACACGCAGACACACACACACACACACACACACACACACACACACACACACACACACACACAAACACCACTACACACACCACATTGCTTTAATTCTCATCTCACAAAAGTTTTGCTTATCTGTTTTAACTGATACATCTTTCCCCATCATTTGAACAGTATGCCCCAGGACATGGTGATGTGTGAAACAAGGATTGTTATGAATACTATGTTCTCAATCTAAAATCATGGTAGAAAAGCCTACAAAACGCCTTTGTTTTTAGCTAGTGAAGAAATTCTTCTCTGAGCCCTTAGAAGTTTCATCATAAAACTGTGTTACTGCTGAAATACAACACTCATAAAGTCATATAATCTCCAAGTTGGACAGTCTAGGCGTGAACACTTCCCAGTGATGGTGAGCCAGCCTATTCCATTTTTGGACATCTCTAAATGTTACAAAGTTTCTTCTTATATTGAGCATAAATCTGCTTCTGTGTAATTTCTCCCAATGATCCTACTTTTTCTGCCTGGAATTACGAAGAACAAATCAAATTCCTCTTCCACAAGAGAGTGCATAAAACATTTGGAGATGTCAGCTATGTCTCTCTGTATCCTCTTTTCCCCAGACATGAAAATCCTGACTCCTCTGGTACTTTCAAGTATCCTTTTCAGGTTCCTCATCATTCCAGTTTCTTGTCCTTCCTCATGTCCTCCAGTTTCCCAGTGTGTTCTCCTTAAAACCCACACATAATAGAGACTTCTGCCAGCTTGTGACCAGTAGAAATACACCACCTTCCCTCTGCATGCCAAATATTCATCACCAAAGCCAAGATTCCCTTCTGAGAGACAACATTGTAAAAAAGTGGAGGTACCACTCATTTTGAGTGAAAAGATGTAGATTTAAGGACTGGATCTGTGTTGGTTGAGTGGAAAGGCCATAAACAATCCTGAGCCTCAGTTTCCTCAAATGTATGTTAGAATAATAATGAGAACCTGCCTTACTGGCTTCCCAGGGCAGCTTCAAGCCTTAGATGAGGAAATGCATGAAAAGCACCATGTAAATGTAAAACACTTTCAATATCATCAGGATATATTAAAGCATATTAAAATGAGTAAATAATAAAATATTAATTTTAAAACAAAAGCAGTAAAAACATTCAATAGATATAAAAATGACACCTATGTTCCCCTTTTTAAAAATCCAAAAAAAGACTGGGCACAGTGGCACAAGTCTGTAGTCCCAACTCTTTGGGAAGCCAAGGAAAAAAGATCACTGAGACCAGGAGTTCAAGGTCAGCCTGAGCAACATAGCGAGACCCCAGTCTCCACACACACACACACACACACACACACACACACACACACTTAAAAATCTGAAAAGAAAGAAAATCATTTAAAAATCTTGAATTCCATCCTTAAATACCAAATAATCCATAGAAACTCCATTTGACCCACGCTTTTGAAAAGCAGCATATGGCCGGGCTTGGTGGCTCAGCCTGTAATCCTGCGCCTTTGGGAGGCTGAGGTGAGTGGATTGCCTGAGCCCGCGGGTTCGAGACCCGCCTGGGTAGCGAGACCTCATCTCTACAATAAATCAAAAAATCAGCCGGGCATGGTAGCGCATGCCTGTAATTCTGGCTACTTGGAAGGCTGAGGCGGAAGGATTGCCGGAGCCCAGCAGGTCAAGGCTGCGGTGGCCGGGAGCGGCAACTGCACTCCAGTCTGCGTAACAGAGTGAGACTCCAACTCAAAAAAAAAAAAAAAAAAAAAAAAAAAGCAGCATACTGATTTACACAAGAGAAATAAAGAAAGATTATCAGAATATTCACTTTTTAGTTAAAGAGTCCCACAATACACAACTACTTTTAAAAAACAAAAAATACTTAGAAGTATTTATATTTACAATGATCACGGGTTTACTTTTTCTTCATTACTGGCAGACAACAATTTGTCAAGATGCAAGGAAAGCCTGTGTAGCTTTTAAAAGATCTTTGAACATCAAGGTAACATCACTGCCAAAGTACAAAGAAAAGACACTGCAACGTTCAGATAAAAGGGTGCTGGAATATGAATCATCAGCACTCAGAGTAGCCTGACAGTTCTGGATAAGAGCCAGACAAGAACTGCAGCAGAAGGCAATGCCCAGATGCACTTTATATTATTATATTATTATTATAGATTTTAAAGAGATTCAAGGAGAAAGTTTTTTCTTTCCCTAAGTGTCACTCATTTTAGCATATGCTAGCATTGGCATTGCTAAAAAGTGAAAATAAAAATTAAAACTGCCACTGTCTGGACTCACTCTGCTATTCTTGTATTCTACGATTCTTTTATTCCACAATTCAAAAAATTGTTGGCTTTTTGATGCCTCAAATTTGGTTCTCTTTTTCTAACTGTTATTTCTCCTAATGTTGCTAAAATTTTAACAAAGCACATTGTGGTACTGAAGACTCTTTCCACACTGTGTTGACTCACTATTCCTTCTGGTAATGTTTTACTCTGTATGGAGTGTTAAGTGAGTTACTGTGGTGCCTACTTTAAACATGACTGCCCCAGAGATTAGTATTACTACCCTTCTATCCATACCACAAATAAAAGAGAATGATTCACTAAAGAATCAATTTGCACTTTTGTTTCAGATCTTTAATTTGCCTAAATTAGTTTGCTAATGTAAAATTCAAAGAGTGGACAATGGAACTATAACAACGACACCTGAATAATGTACCCAAGTACATTATTGGCACCTGAATAATGTACCCAAGTACAATTCACATAAAGTTTAGGGTTAGATAGTCGAATATTATACCATTTCTTTTTTTTGATTTTTGTTTTTGTTTTGAGTTGGAGTCTCACTCTGTCGCCCACACTGGAGTGCAGTGGCTGCTCCCGGCCACTGCAGCCTCAACCTGCTGGGCTCCGGCGATCCTTCCGCCTCAGCCTTCCAAATAGCTGGAACTACAGGCACGCGCTACCACGCCCGGATAATTTTTGATTTTTTATTGTAGAGATGAGGTCTTGCCAAGTTGCCCAGGTGGGTCTTGAACCCGCAGGCTCAGGCAATCCACTCACCTCAGCCTCCCAAAGCATGGGATTACAGACTGAGCTACGGAGCCTGGCTATATTATACCATTTCATATTATCTGGGCATGAATAGCACTAAACCATTCTTTCCTGGCCTTACTATGAGGACCATAAGCATAGCTAATATTACTGAGTGCTTATTATATTACATTCATTATCTCAATTTAATCTCTATCACACTACCACAAAATAGACACTGTTATTAGTCTACCTATATAAAGACAAGAAAACTGAGATTAAGTCAAGCAATGTGCCCGGTATTATATAAGCAGTAAAAGGTAGAGGCAGAATTTAAACCCAAACAGTCTGACCTCAGAACAGAAGTTCCTCACTATGCCACTTTGTGAGAGATTCAATTGCTGGAGTTAAGTCCTGAGGTCTGCTCTGTATTCCCCAGAGAACCATTTTCGTTCTTGATGCAGTTTCAGTTATCTTATTCGTTCACTGACAGAACAAACATTTGTTGCATCCAGGATCTGCTATGTGCTCTACATATATTATCATATGCAATCCTCAAAACAACCCTACTAGTTAGTTTCACTTTATCAATGAGAAGATGGTATTCAGAGAGGGTGTTTGTTACCCTCTTTCTCAATTTTTCATACAAATAAGTAGCAGAGTTAAGATTCGAACCAAGTCTTATGTGGTTCTGAAGCATATTTTCTGTCTTCCTAACCACAGTGGCTCCAAAGTTTCACCAGTTGCAGGATTTCCCCTTGTAAGACTATGGGTATCATCAGATTACCTTATATTTACACTGATCCTCTAGCAGAGCCTTGCAGCAACGTATTCCAGCCCTACTCTCTTTCCTACTATGCTGGTCCCAAACTCCTCACCTGGAAGCTGAGGGGTGCGTCAACATTTCGAATATGCCTCAGACTGCAGGGTTAGCTCCTGATTCATGTGCATCCTTCCAGTCTTTCACAGAATACAGTGTTGTTAGGCTCAGCAGCCATTCACATGAAGGAACCTTTTTTCCACCAGGAAATAGCTTTCATGAGCTTTAGCTCATATTAAAATAGGATACTGACATCTAGG